AAGGTCACATTTAAATACATTAACATGGCTGTGTGCGCTATATATTTGCATATAAATATAACATTATGGTGACCTTCAATTAAAACAAGATGTAAGTTCCAGAAAATGAACTTTAATAATAAGCACTGGCCAATTATTTACTTTGACAAAAATCTCTCAAAACAATGATTTAGAACGGCTACGCTTACATGATGGTTTGAGAGAGGAGTAAAGGAGGCCATCTTTGTGAAAAGAAACCGTCCATCATTAAACAGGGGTGGAGGCCTCCGGGTTCAATTATCCCCCTCTTACAATGCTGTTATTGCTAGTATCACTCAACCCCCTGTGAATAGCAAACAGCCACCAGTATGCTAATGATCAATCGTTAGGCTGATGGTCCTTCTTGAGCATGTGATCAGCTGGTTTTGGTTGTCAGCAGCAAAACTGGTTGATCCACTCTGAGAAGGTGCCATGTATAAAACTGAGCTGAATACAGCACCTCAGACTGAGGAAGTCTTTCGGATGAAAGACGAAATATTTCTACATTTTTTTTTGTTTTGTTTTGTTGTTTTTTTGAATGTCCAGAGGACCAGATTTAACTTTTTTGGAGCAAAAAAGTAGCTTAAAAAAAACACAAAAAGCCGAAAATACCAGGTGAAATGAGAAGAAAAAAGTCTAAATTTAGTTACCAAAAATGAGAAAAACTCAAATTGAAACAAGCAAAAAAAAAAGGCTGAAAAAAGCAGCGATGGGCAATAAAGGTTTAAAAAGCAGAAAGGGTTTGAAGGGTGTAAAGAGAGCTAAAAAAAAAAAGCTAAATATGTCAAAATGTACTAAAATGCTCAAACACCAAAAGTCAAAGCAGGAAAGTCCTGATCAAGCTGAATGTTCGATGTGTGCATTGTTGAAATAGAAAAGATTCCTGTGCTTTTTACTGTTAAACTATCAAGCTTTGTCCATGGATGGTTGCTGTCCCAGAGCTGAGTTTGAAACAGCTTCTTTACTGATTCAGTGTCTTTGTTGTAAAATGCTAACAATCCCTTTGTCAGTGAAGTAGAAAATAAGCAGCGGCCTAATTTGTATCCAAACAAGACATCCTCCAAGTTTAACGAACAAGACTGACCATGACCTGTTGAGAAACAAAGGACTAAACGTTTGATTCTCTTCTTTCTATTTTCCAGGGATCCTAACCTCCCTGTTCCTCAGGACACAACATTTATTCACACTAAGCCTAACCGTTTCGAGGAGGTCATCTGGACAAAGTTCAGTTCCAAAGACAAGCAGTATTTACATATAGGCCTGAAGCCTCGCGTCAGAGATAACTACCGTGCCAACAAGGTGGCTTTTTGGCTGGAGCTTGTGCCGCAACTTCACAGCATGTACACTAGAATTACGGAACCGGCCACCACTCGACTGCCTCCCGGAGGTACCGGCCGCCGGAAGAGCCCCCATCCCGGCGTTCGCTCCACCCAGCACCCGGTGATCTCCACCTATCCACCAGAACCTGAGCCGGATGGTTCAGAGAAACCCCGCTACTCTCCCTTCCCCAGTGAGACGAGGGACTACTCCACCGAGCTGAGCGTGACCGTAGCTGTTGGTGCGTCCCTTCTTTTCCTCAACGTCCTGGCCTTTGCCGCGCTCTACTACAAACGGGATAAGCGTCATGAACTCATGCAGAGACGTCATCGCCGGCTCTCACCGCAACGTGGTACCACAATCGGCATGGGCGTCGGCATGGGAGTCGTAGGGGCCCCACCGCACAATGACCTGGTGCTGAGTCAGGAGGAGGAGCTAATGTCCCTGCAGATGAAGCAGCAGAGGGTGGAGCTGGAGCACGGGACGCCTCTCCCTTCCCGTGGCATTCACGGTGATCTGGAGCCGCTGCGACCTCCCGTGTGCCCACCCGACTACACGTTGGCCCTGCGGCGGGCGCCCGAGGACGTGCCACTGATGACCGCCAACACCATAACCATGATCCCCAGCACCATTAGCAGCATTCAACCGCTCCACCCCTTTAACACGTATCCCCCCGTCCCGGCCCCTTCCTCTACACCCGTCCCCAGCCACAGCAACAACGCTCTGCCACACCAACACTCCACAACCCGTGTATAGGACAAGGCACAAGCTCTGCTACCCGTCACTGGGCTCACAAAGATGCACCACACAAACTGCTCCATCCAAACTTCACTCTCACCAACCTCTACTCTTTTCCGCCCCACTATCTTTTCCTCCTCATCAAGCCCTCAAAAAAGCTGCAGTTTGTAAGATCTGAAGCAGTGAAATACCTCCAAGCTATAATCATAACTCAAAGGGGACTTGATTGAAAAGCCCCTTTGTCATTCTTGGCACATACAGCTTTTTCCTGCTCTCACTCGACGAATATTTGGTGCTTCGGAAAGTTGCCAAATGCGCTGCTTGAACTTTGTAGCTCCCTCAAAGAGGTGTCATAATCAGTTGGTTGTTTGGAGCATGTGGGGTTTTGTGTGTGCGCGTATGTAAAGCTATGTTTATCAAAGGATACAAACACACATTGTCATTCATTTAGTGAAAAGATGATACAGTAGCAAGCAGCTTTGTATGAGGCAGCATATGTCCCAACAAGCTGTCTGTCATAAAGCGCTGATTTCTTGAAGCTTACAAATTGCAGCTTTAAAGGCCCAATCTGGAAGTGAAATTTGGCACCCTGTAGAGAGCACTGTGTTCCAACAGCTGTCTCCTCATTGTGATTTTAAAAGGTATTGTTTGGTGTAAAATGTATTGGCAGGGTTGGGAATTCGATAATAAAGACTGTTTGATAGCATGATTAAATTCATTGTTAAAATGAGATCATTTAACTCTATTTACATGTGTTGGCCTATTTTCAAATTTGCTACGTGAAATCTATAGTTAAACCATTTTCAAGTGGAGCTCAATGGCAAACGCCATTGAGTTTAGTTTAGTTACTGAGGTTAGTTTAATTTTTATGTTTTTAACTTATCATAAAGGTCTTTGAACAACCTCATTTTGGAGAAACACAGCTTATTTTTGACTGGATTAATAAGCTAATTTATATTTCTACTTTCCTAACAGCAAAAGCTATTTTATAAACCTTTACACTGCCATCAATTTTGCGTTCCACGATTATTTACAAGTAATTCAACTTTTTTTTTTTTTTTTTTTTGGCAAGTGCAAATAATGGCAGTGGCAGCTAACTGTAGAATGTACAATGCAGCCTGTGGTAGTTTTAGCAAGACAATCATATAATTCTGCCAGAATAACCATCTTTCCATTTTCTTTACCTGTTTCTCCTTTCTGAGTTGTGGGGAAATTATTTCCAACAGTCACTTGGCAAGAGGTAGGGGACACCATGGACAGGTTGAAAGTCCATCACATGGAGACAAATGAGACAAAAAGCTATTCACACTTTTACCCATGTTTTTAGTCTGAGTGACAACACTGGAGTACCTAAAACAATTCCAGTCTTTAAAATGTTCACATGGTCATGCAAATTTAATTAAATTAATTTCTACACCTTTTGTTAATTTTGCATTGCACAGTTATTCTGACAGAAATCTTATGAGCTGCCTGGTAAAGGTGGATGAGGCTGCACCAGAAGTGCTCGTTCTTGTTGCAGCTGTTCAAGCTTGCAAAGAATCATAGAATTACATCTAAAGGACTGTGTAGACCTAATGTAAAAATGACATCAATATTAGGGTTTATCATATAGTTTATGAATGAGAAACTGTAGATTTTTGAAGATTAAAGTTTATTTAAATCAATAAAATCATACGTGGGTCAACTTGGACTGCATTGATGAGCTAATAATGGCTAACTCAAATGGACCCACTTTCAAAGTGTATTTTGCTGTCTTAAAACAACTCCTATTTTTAAAATTTCATAGTGGTTTATGCAAACACTGTTTAATAAAGCTTTACACCTCCATCAATTTTGCATTACACAATTATTCTGGCAGAAATATTGTAGAATTACCATTGGAAGTGGACCAGGCTGCACTAAAAGGGATACAGCTAGCTGCTGCTATTAACACTCAAAATATCAAGAGAATTCCATGTAAATAAATAAATATGTAATGTAAAACTGGCATTAAATATATATAAATATATATATATATATATAAAGTACTATAAAAAAAAGTTTGGAGACTAAAACTGTTTTAGGATAACAGACATTGAATTGGGTTTCAGCTGTCAGCCTAACTGTTAGCCCAGCTGTTAGCCTAGCTGTTAGCTTGTTAGCCATTTCTCCAAACTGAGGTTATTTAAAGAGCTCTCTGCAACAGATATGTAGTGGGGAAAAAAACACTTATGAGTGGCTGAACTATTCCATGAGTGACATAAAGGCTTTTTTAAATTTATTTATATATTTTTTCATTGGGGACTGCTAGTAAGGCAGGCACCTATTATTATCCACCTAACAATGGTTTCTTAACTTTATATTTTACTCTTCCGACAACTTTAATGTGGCCCAAACCCCAATGTGTACCCCCACAATTACCCGGCTCGGCCCTGTGATGTGTGCTATTACTTTTATTGGCATTTTGGGTTACCATGGCGACGTTAAAAAAAGCGCCATTTTTCTCATTCAAGATGCCTGACGGAACTCAACAGCTTCAAACTGCTATACCTGTCGTTGTTTGAGATATTGAGCTGAAATTTGCTCTGGTTGTAGCAGAGAGTCAGTTTTCATACATTCCTAATGCAAATCAAAAATCCAAGATGGCCACCAGTGCCAAAAAGGAAAAATACTATATAAATTAGCTAATTTTAGAGATATTTAAGCTACAACTTTGCGTGGTGATATCTGAGAATGTTTCTCATCACATACTGAATTCAAATCAAAAATCCATAATGATCAGCAAAGCTACATTTAAATGGCTTTAACAAAGCTATTTTCACACATATAGAGATGAAATTTGGTGAGGTTATAGCTGAAAACGTTCCCAATCACTGAATCCAAATAAACAAATCCAAGATGGCCACCATAGCTTACCGTATTTTTCGAGCTATAAGGCACACCGGATTATAAGGCGCATTAAGCGAAACAAAACAGATAAGTCAAACTTTATTCAACTCATTCACAATAACCCAATATTATTCAGTTGTACCACATAAAATCGGTTTGAGGTCAATAAGCACAACCAGAATTAATACATAAGGTTGTTGTGTTTTTTCCTCTTACTTCTCCACCCGAGCTCTGTTACCGGTCTATCCTGCAGGAGGAGTCAAGACACGCACTTCACAATACGACAAACGCACCTTCAAGTTTACGAATATTTAATAAGCAAAGAAAGTCAGAAAGTCACAAAGTTAAAAAGTCAAAAAGTCACAGATTCACAAGCATAAACAGTGGATTAGTTAAATGCAGTCATTATTTTAACATATTATTAATTGGATGCATCCATTCTAAACTATACAATACAACCTTATTAAGGAGGATTCTGAAGTCGACCGTCTCTGCTTCGTCTGGCTGTCTGCTTCGTCTCTCTGCTTCGAGCAGAAAACTGCACTCCCTTTGTCTAAAAACAGGGCGTTCCTTCACACAGCAAAACTAACTTTTCACCGCGTTCTGAGTCTGCTGTCATGGGATTGGCCAGTTTCAATCCAATCAAAAGTGTGAGACATCGTGTTACATTATGTACACAGGAACAGACTTCAATCTGTGGGAGCCTCTTCAAAGTAAAACAGGAAGTGGGCCAATTTCAAAGTAAAACAAGAAGTGGGAATCACAGATTCAACAAGAAACACAATATTATTTCACAACAAGGTGCACTGGATTATAAGGCTCAGAGTCAATTTTTGAGAAAATTACAGATTTTAAGTGCACTTTATAGTCCGAAAAATACGGTAAAAGAAAAAATGCCTATAACTCATTGATTATATGCCATATTGCGCTGAAATGTGGTGTAGTTGTAGCTGAGAGCGAACCCCAACACAAAGTATTGTGTAATCAATTTTTTAAATTGTCAGCGGCGTGGCAGTCCCTGTCACCGTTTCTCCGGGAACTTTCTAGTTTAAATTTGTACTCTCAGTGCTGCTGGTCTGAAAGCACTTCCAGATTGGGGGCTTCAACTGGTGGCCAGTTCGGAGAAGAACTGGATCCCATTCAGGGTGCAGCCTGGAATCCAGGCTGCCCATTAGAACTCGCTGCATCTGTGCCTCACAGGCTCTAATCATGTCCATTACTTTATTTGTTTCTCTCTCGTTGTGTCAGTCTGAATCCTCCACCTCCTCTCATTAACTGCTTCTCTCATCTCGCTGCCTCACTCTTTTGTTGTTTTAGTTTGTTTCTCGCTCTTCATCTGCTCTTGTAGCTCTTATTAAACCATTAACACGGTCAATTTTTCTCTTTCGTACAAACACTTTCTTTTTTTTTTCCTTTTGGAGTCTTTTATACAACACAAAAATGTATATTATGTATTATTAATAAATTGTAAGGATATGAATGACAAAAAAATATTCTGATATCTCGTTTTTACCAGCATTCTTGGTGCCAAGTACTGTGATAAAGTTCCTCTAAAGACTGGCATCCAGTGGAGCGCCTGCAGAGGTCCGTCCTGACTGTATCTTTCAAAAAGGAGTTACCATGAAAAAAAAAGTGCCAATCCCTTTATCTTTTCGTTTTAACCACACACAGTTTTATTCTAATTGTTTTTGATGTTGCACTGTGGCTGGTCTCTTCTTTAAAAAGAAATCAGAATTATAACTTCATTTAAAAGAAAGAAAAAAGTTTCATTATCTACTTTGCTGTGTGGGATTGCTGCATGATTTTCTTTTGCAGTGTTTGGACCGAGTTTATCATTTTAATGATTTGCCTTGTGTTTTTTTTTTTTCATTGATTTTCTTTTTTTTAGTATTATTTTGACTATTTCATTTTTATTTCAAAATCAGCTGCACTTTTTTGGTACTTCAGAAAGTATTAATAGATGAATATTATGTAAAGATTATATTAAAGAAAGTAAATATTTCCTCTTTATTTTATTTTTCCTAACACCGAGGCTTGTGCCGTAAATTTACAGTACCGGAGACTGTAAACAATCCGGTAAACCCGAAGAAAAGTGTTTCCATTTCCACCGTTTTATTCGTTTTCTTTTACAGCTGTCAAGTTTGCACAGTCACTGTCTCTCAGTCTCGTCTGAAGATGGCACTTTTTACGTTACAAAAAGAAATACATTAAACAAAATGGTTGAGACAAGACTATTTTACATGAATAACCTA